AAAGGAGCCTACAAGGTAGCCTTTTGCACTTTGGGAGGCCGAAGCGGGTAGATCACCTGAGGTAAGGAGTTCGAGACCAGCCTGGCCAACATGGTGAAACCTCGTCTATTCTAAAAATACAAAAATTAGCCGGGTGTGGTGGTGGGCACCTGTAATCCCAGCTATACTTGGGAGGCTGAGGCAGGAGAATCACTTGAACCCAGGAGGCAGAGGTTGCAGTGAGCCGAGATTGCACCACTGCACTCCAGCCTGGGCAATGGAGTGAGACTCTGTCTCAAAAAAAAAAAAAAAAAAAAAAAAAATACTGGCTTAATAAAGTACAATATCACACACACTTGCACATACACAAATAAATGCATGCACACACAATCCCGCCCCCACCCCAATTCGAAAATAACAAATCCCATTTTTGATTTGGAAGTAACTTTACTCTGAATAGGAGATGTCCACCTCAGGAAGCAGTCACATTGCCCATGTTGCTTTGTTTTGTAGTTACCACATTACTTGGAAGTTCTTACTTTAGAGCTGTGACATCAAGAAAATCGACCTCTGATCATGCCAGGATTACTGAATGTTAAAATCAGACTTAAATATCACAAAACATTTTTATGTCTGCTCCCCCCTCTCAACCACACACACAAATAAAAATTTTCACACATTCAACTATATACCTTCTTACTCAAGCAGTCTCTTTGCATAAAATGAATGGAAACTCCTGAAGCCAATCATCTGAGACTTGGAAATCAGAAAGCTGAGATTATAGGGAGAATTTTTGGGTTCTCTTTTCCATAGTTTGTTTTGTGATGTTATAGATGGTAGAAAACAAAAGGGAGAAGGTGCCAGGAAAATATATGTGTGAACAAGTAAGTTTATGTTCGAGGCATAATTGTAAAGTATTATTTGTGGTCAGAGATGCTGTTGCTAATTCTATAATTTTCTATGCTATATTTTCCCATGTGAGCAATTTACGTTGTTGTCCTTGGCCCTTTATGCAATCAGTGTAAACGGACTAGCAGTTTCTGGCCCTAAACTAAAGTTTATTTATACTTAAATCAGTGATTCCAAACTTTAAATGTGTAACATGATGTTAATTTTGTAACATCAATGGTTTAAAATTTCAAGATATTTATCTTGTATTGAACAGTTCTCTTTAAAGAAATCTTAGAGGGGTAAGTGTCTTACCTGTTTTTTAAAAGATCAGCTTGCAATCTTCTGCTTCAACTGTATCTGTAGTAGAATATAGCATTATTTCTAATTTTATTTAGAAATATAAAAATTTAATATGTCTTTTGCTCTCCATTTATATAAACAGCATCGAAGAACAACAGTGTTTGCTGGTTATAGTGTTGAGCATAGCTCTTTTACTTTGAATATTTAGAGGTTATGTGATTTTAATCCAGGGGACAACTTTATACTACTTCACTAGCAGAAACACTACTGTTATTTTTACTGACCTATCAATACCACCAACTTAATAGTAATAAAAGCTAGTATACATAGAGTTTATTATGTATCAGACTACAAAATATGTACAACTTTTGTATTTCAAAATAAAAGTAGGTAATATTGTATTCTCTTGTAGACTTGTCTGAGGCAATTTCACACAGATTTTTTAAAACATAAAGACACAATAAAAGAATTGTGGAGTACATATGTTCAAAGTATCTATCAAGAGATGCAGAGATGTTAAGTACCTTCCTAAGATCTAGAGATGAATCTTCCTCTCCTCTTTGTACGTTTCTTTTGCCTTCACTATATTTTACAATGTGTGGTATGTAGCCAGTCTAGTGGCCATGCTAGGATTTCAAGCCTAGCAGTCTGGCTCCTGAGTATATGCACTTCACATCAAAGCTGTTCATTCTTCCAATTCAGTTATTTATATTTCCATCCTTCATCACAGAATTTACTAGAAGTACCTTGCTTTAATAATCAACATTACAAAAAAGGCTGTTTCTTTTCTTTTTTTTGCAACTTTTCCACTAAAAAGTTCCTATTATAGTAACATTTGGTAACTTTTTTTAGAATGTTCTTGAATACATTTGTTCAAAGACCTGAAACAAGTTACTACATCAAAAAGTACTAACTCACTGAACAGTCTTTCCTGGTGCCATCAACACTTGACTTTGTATCACCTGTCAAAAGTGAAACTCTTTCCCCAGTTGTCAGTAGTTTTTCCTATAACATTGTTTCATCCAGACAGTGGTAACAAGAAGTATATCCACATTTGATTAATCTCATCTCCTTTGCCCCAGGATGTCAGAGGAAATTTTAAACATTGCCAATGATTATGCTATTAAACAGTCAGAAGACACCATTCTTTTACTTGTCAAAAAAAAGCTAGTTTAATATGGTTTTATAAATTAAGTCTGTCATAAGTCTTCAAAATTATAAGAACTAAGTCTTCCATTACTCTGCATAGATTATCCCTTGCAATAATTATATTACCAGGCAACTGCATCTAAACTCTGGAAGGAATTAGTGTATAATCCTGTAGGATCTATCAGGAAACTGCTTTGGGATATATCTTGTTGATAATATAACAATGTCCTTCTTAAATTAGGTTTTTCAGCATTTTAAATTTTATATTTAAACTTTAAGTTTTAGGTTAAATTAGTCTTGTAAAGGTTACCATCTGAATGCTGTGTTTATTAGAGGAAACTACTTGTGTTCTTTTGTCACCAATGAATTTTTTGGTCATATTTATTTAATATATATTTAATGCGTATCAGTACACAAGCACACCCAAGGTATACAATTTGCAAAGAATGGATGTTAGATTTTGATCACAAAAGGTGTTTTACAAAGATAAAATTTGTTGAGTTATAAAATATTTGTTGGAGTTGTAAAATGATTCCAAAAGACATACTTTACCTTATAAAATAAGGCAAATGGAAAAAATTCACCATCAATATGATGATGATTTTTCTTTAGAAGCAAATAATTCAAAATATGAATGTACTTACATAGGTAATAACTTTTGTTGTCATAAGCTCATCTACATTAATCCAACATCTAGGACTTTAACCAGTTTTTATGTTCAGCTGATTCTAAATGAATTTATTCCTGGCATAGTCCTTTACTCCATATAGGCGCAGCTCTGAACCGATTCCAGGATTCAGTTCAGAACAGTTACATATTTAATGTATTATGTGAAAAGCCTATAGGATTGGGTTCAATATTGACAATAGTCCTATTCTAAGAATATTAGACATTATTTCTATAATTTCTATTCCTTTTGACATTGTTTTCTGTTTAACAAAGCAGTATTCCTCTTACAATGTTGTGATAAATTCAGATTTTTATAAGACTTGTTCTTCCTCCCAATTTTAAAATTATTTCTTGAAAACTATTATTTTTCATAGCTATTTGCCTCTAGAAGCAATTGTTCATAATCAAGGCATATTTTCCTTTGTAGAAATTCACAACTGTGAAGACAAAGTTTCCCAGTGAGTTAATAAATGGGCATTTGTCAGAATTCTCTGGGGTCAAAGACTGAGTTTTTTGTTCTTAGTGCTAATAGAACCAAATCACCTGCATTTCAGTATTTAACACGCTGGAAAGCCAAACCAACTTAAGGTCTTCTTTTTTTGTACTGAGTAATTTGAAAGTGAAAGCTTTTTGAAGCATGCATTCAAAGTGAAACGCATCGGCAGCACTTCCTGAATCATGTAACTTTACTCAGTCTGTTGAACTGGCAAATGTGAGGCCGTTTGCTATGCCCACCAATTTCTTTGTGTTAACTCCCCTTTATTGCTATTCTTTCCTTATTAATCATCCTATTCATAAAAATCCCATGATTGGGGAGAATGAACCCGTTAGGGAAACTCACTGCTATCAGTCTAATCCAAGCCTCTATCAGTAACTTTCTTATTGGTATACCTGATTCCACCTTGTCTAGCTAACTATTATGTGTACCATGAAGATACTGAAGCCAACCTACCTAGGTTTAAATCCAACTCTGCAATAGTTGTATTGCCAGTTCCTTAAAAAAAAATGGTATAAGAGCTTTGAAATGCTAAATAAGGTCTTCATGCACATGTCAACTAGAGCAGCCCTTGTAAAGTGTCAGACGCTAATTCTTTGGTTGACCTCCTCTAAATAACTGCACACTTAAAAAATAAATAAAATCCGAACTCCTTACTAAGGCCTGTAAGTGTGCTTCTCATTTTATTCCCCATGTTTCAGTTACACTGTACTTGTCTCCAGAGATACTAAGCAGTTCTACTTCAAGACTTTTGCACTTGCAATTCCTTCTTCCTGGAACATCTTTTCCCAGATTTTTGTATTGCTCACTTCCTCAGGTAGCTGCTCAAATGTTCAGAGTCCTTCTTCGTCCCAAATAGCACACCCCCAGCACACATATCCTCAAGTCAATAGTCTCCTGCCTCATTTTCTTTTTCTTTTTTTGCTATAAAGCACTCATTGCCACTGACTTTATAATAGTTTAGTGCCTCTCTCTCCAAACTGAAAACAAGCTCCTGAGCACAAGGATTTTATTTTGGTCATTCCTGTAGTCTCAGCACCTAAAACACCACTTGGCATTGGTAGTTCTTGGTAAATATTTGCCGAATAGATGCTGTATTTAAAACGGTTTTTTTTTCCCCCTAAGGACTTTTGAGAATCTTAATATGCTTGTTTTTCATAGTATGCACTTAACATTTCCTACTCCCATACTTTCACTTGATCCAGATCCTCTCATTAGGTCACCACTCAAGAAATACCAACTTACTTTGGGCTTTTAGAAACAAAGAGTAGGTTCTTGTTTGCAAAGGGTAAACAAGCACAACAAAAAATGTTGATACTGTTTTCAAAGGAAGTTTTAAATACTATTAGTGAATTAAATTCTAGACAAAACAGCCATATTTTTCAAACATTGTTTTTAATATATCTACCTATAAAGATCTGTGGAGAGTTCACATCAGATCATGAATGGGTATGATTAGGGCATATATACACACACTCAGAAAGTTACAATTAAGCTTTTCTTTTTTCTCTTACAGGTTAATGACTCCAGAGAGTAAGATCAGATTCGTCCACAAAGAGATGGGCATAATACCAAGCTGGGGTGGCACCACCCGGCTAGTTGAAATAATTGGAAGTAGACAAGCTCTCAAAGTGCTGAGTGGGGCCCTTAAACTGGATTCAAAATACGCTCTACACATAGGAATGGCTGAAGAGGTCTTGCAGTCTTCAGATGAAACTAAATCTCTAGAAGAGGCACAAGAATGGCTAAAGCAATTCATCCAAGGGCCACCGGAAGTAATCAGAGCTTTGAAAAAATCTGTTTGTTCAGGCAGAGAGCTATATTTGGAGGAAGCATTACAGAATGAAAGAGATCTTTTAGGAACAGTTTGGGGTGGGCCTGCAAATTTAGAGGCTATTGCTAAGAAAGGAAAATTTAATAAATAATTGGTTTTTCGTGTGGATGTACTCCAAGTAAAGCTCCAGTGACTAATATGTATAAATGTTAAATGATGTTAAATATGAACATCAGAATTACTTTGAAGGCTACTATTAATATACAGACTTGTTTTTAATCATCTTTTGAATATCTGAACTCATTTACCTCATTTCTTGCCAGTTATTCACTTGGGTATTTACTGCATAATCTGGAACATTTAGCTAAAATACACACTTTTGGCTTAAAAATTATTGCTCTCAATTCCAATAATAATTCTTAGCTTATAAGCAAAGAGCAGTGTTTAAAAGGAGAACTTCTGTACAAAACCTATTCCTGGTGTTACTTTTCATAAAATTTTGTCTTACCTGTCTTACCTGGAAATAATTTACCAAAATAATGAGTATTGCTATTAAAGAGCAAAAGTGGGGAGGGATCAGGGAACAAGAAAACAAGAAAGGATATGATCAATTATTTTCTTCTGCTCCAAACAGCCGGAGTAAAATTCATGGGAAATGGCCCTTAATTTAAAAAAAGATGTACCTCACTACCCACTACAAATTTGGAACTTTATTTGATCTTTTCAATAATTAAGTTTTCTATTATAAATTATCTACTAATTTATAGTAGATAAATTTATAGTAGATAGTGGTAGCCATGACATGGAAAGTCAACTGATTTTACAAATTGAACATTAATTTGTGTGCCCTGGAATTTCCAACTAGTAATAAACAACTACTTTTGATGTAGTTTTAAAATTAAAACCACTCGAAGGGACTCATGAAGCATCTTGCAACATAAATTTGCATTTTTACATCAGATTTATTTTTTTTTACTGAGAAACAACTAACCTTTTATAACTGTCTTTCAAAAGTAAACGTAAAAATGCACAACATAAAATGTTTATGATCATCCCAGAAATACACTTTTTAAAAAATGTGAAAGTCCAAGAATGAAGTTCTAGTTCTGACTCATCACAAGAGGTCAAAAGTATTTGCTACTGTAACATTCAATTCACATTTGAGAATCATGGTAAAAATAACTTGCATTTGCCTTATACATAATCCTACTGTTGAGTTTGGAAAATATGGTTAGACAGACTCACGTTACTTTTTTCAGAGGTAAATTCTAGATTACTGTGTCAACCTAATATTTTCTATTTGGCCATAGATGTAAAATCTACCAAATAAAAGTGGATTTTGTGGTCTACAACATTTTGTTTAAAGTGAATTCATGTCTGCTAACACTGTAAGTCTGCCATTTAATCCAGAGTGTTAGACTACTAATGAATATGCTAAGAAAAATATAAAATATTAATAGTATCTGCTTTAATTTTATTTCCATATATATTTATTATATACACACTGCCTAAAGGTTCTGTTTAAATAATAATCTGTTAAATAAATAATCTCAAGAAAAAAAATCAGACTTTTCTCGGCAGGTGATTTAAAGCTGAAAACAACCATTTAAAACCACCACTTTTTAAGTGACCTTTGGTCACAAATGTCAAAATGTTTCCACACCCTTTCCACACTCAAACAAGAGACAAATTGTTTTTGATAAACTCTAGTATTTATTAAATTATAAATTTTGTAATCAAAAAGAAAAATGCTGACCAGAAAAACCTCAAACTATAAGACTAGACAGCAAAGCCTATGGGAACGCCATGAAGTGTGTTACAAACATTCTGAAACATAAGTTACTGGCTGTTTTCATTTCCATATCAATAACTTTACTATAAAATAGTTGTTATTCATCTATTTTGACATCCCAAATTCACATCTATTCTTACATTAAATTATGCTTCCTGCTCATAATATCAAGCATCTCACAGGTGCCAAGTTTTAGTAATGGTCTTATGCCAATCCATGCAGAAAAATAAGACACAATGCAGGAGTCAGATGAGGACCATTAATGCACAGATAATACAAACACACTGGCCAAAAGAACTACAGAAGTTTTTAAAAACTATAAAGTAAACAGACCTCGAGAAAACTGGGTTATTACTAAACAGCTCTCAACTATTAACACCCAAGTTCCTTACATTAAATAAATTTCTCAACAGAGACATGTTAGACATTTTGATTACGGGTCTATCCTTCCCATACCCCTTCCCACCCCAACTCCCAAAATGCACTACTAGGGATGAGTATGTTATGTGGGCAGAAATTTACAGGTAACCTTTTCAACCTTGAGCATGGAGCTGAAGACATTTAAACTTCAGTTACTGTGCACTGTCCATCAGGCCTTCTAGATCTGACACTGACACTCACTGTTCCACCCCCTGCTACTGATCGATCAGTTCCCGATCGATCTGATCGATCGGATACTGTCTGGTTTGCATTAGAAACCAAAAGTCTCTGTTGGGTCAAGGAGTGCTGTGCAACAACTGCAGATGATACATTCTCACTATCACTACTGGCGTCTGATTCAGTTTCTTCAATGGAGGTGTCTGGTGCTGGTACCCTGCCTGAAGATGGTGATTCATGATCTTCTTCTCCTTCTCCCCTATGACTCCTTTCAGCTATGCTGTCTCCACTGAGTTGTAAATGAGCAAAAGAGTCTTCCAGAGAAGTGCTTGCATCAGGGGATGGTGTTGCAGGGCTTGTTAACTGACCATCTACTGACGTTAGGGGCCTTACAGAAGACACTAGGGGCTGAACAGAAGCTCCACTCTGTGCTGATACACTGTCCGCTCCATCAGCAGAGCTCTCCCTTGCTAGGTTTACGGTATTAGCATCACAGTCTAGCCTAAGTCCAGCTACTCCCTTCTTTGGTATATCTATTATATCTCGCTTAATCTTCCTGCGACGTCCATGTTCATTTCTCCTATATTGAACCATGTTTTCAAGATCAGCGACATACAGAAAGCCAGCAATTAACATTTCAGTGTTCTTTTTACCTTTGGAAAAAGCATCTTCCAGCTCTCGACTAGTGCGCTCATCGTACTGCCACCACCCATTTCTTCCTTCATAATACCATGCATATTCACCATTTCCTCTACTTGCTGCCTTGAGTTCTTCTGGTGACAACAAGGTTGGCTTGTCAAGGAAATCCTCGGGAATTTCTTGTCGACAAAGAGCACATCGCTTTCCAAGCCATGAAGCTCCTTTTACACATAGATAGCAGAAAACGTGCTTACAGGGCAGACTGACTGGATGAACACATGTTTGCAGACAAATGGCACATTCAGGGACGGTTAAAGAAGGTGCAGTATTAGAACAGGACTCGTTCGCTTTCCTGTTTGTAGGAAGCATGTTTATTGAATGATCAATTTCACCACAGCCAGCCATCCTAAGAAAAAATACATATAATATTAAAGTCATGTTTTAATTCTTGCAATATCTTAATTCAACAATTATGAAAATACCACCTATTATGTGCATTATATGCAAGCCACATTCTAGACAATGGGGATATGAAGATGAAAGGAGAAGAAAAACTCTCCAACCAATGAAAACAGTTTATAAGCATTTACTTGTACATACCTTGGGAATGTATAAAAATTCCATCAGTGCACTTACAGATCAGCCCTGGAGAAACACACTGAAGAACTATATAATGAAAAGCTGCATCCAGTGGAGGGAAAAGGGATCATGGCAGCTATTATACAGTGAAATGAATGCTAGACAAGAAATCTAAAAATCTGAGTTTTAGAGTTCTTTATTAACTATGTGCTCTTAGGCATGCAGTTAAACCTTTAGTCTAAATTTCCTTACCTGCAAATCAGAGTTTACAAAGCTCAGGTAAAAATGGACAAAAAAAGTGCTTTGTAATCACTAAAGCTTCATAAAGGTAACAATCACATAAAACCAAGGGAGAAAATAACATGAATATTGAAGATGCCCTGAAGAGGAGGAAGAAAAAAGATTTGTCAAATTGGATGTATCCAGCTTAAACACTGACATAAAATTTATAATTTCTGCCTTACTGATTCAGATAAATGTTTACCAAACACCTACCATGGTCTAGATACTAAGTACTGATGGGTCTAATGATAAATAAGACACACAAGTACTCTGTTAAATAAGGAAACATATATGCAGATAATTACAATATGGCCTAATTCCTGCATAATCAAAATGTGTTAACATACTTACAAAAATAACAATGAGAGAGAGATGAGAGGATGGACATAGGTTAGAAAGTTTAGCGTTCATTCAGAGGGGCCTGGGCAGTGGAGCAGATTCTAGGCAGAGGCATGTGCAAGACACTGAGTCAAATAGTCATACAAGCAATGGAAGAGCAGGAGATGAAGGTGTGAAGAAAATCAAAAGCCAAGTCATGAAAGCCTTATTGTGCCCTGCTAAGGAAACATTTAATTTTTTTTTCCCCCATAGTTTAAAAAAAAAAAAAAAATTAAAGGGGAGAAAATAATCGAGGGAGTAAATCACTGGTAAGTAAAAATGACTGAGAAATGAAGATGAAGATGTCAAAGAGATTAAAGCTTAAAATGAATGACAATCTTTGTGCCAGCTAATTCTGCCATTCTAAATGGGTCCAGTAGTTACAAAAGATATAGTCACTAAGAATGCTTACGCTCATCAAAAATTGAAAAACAATAATCCTAGGCTATCATCACAGCACATCCAATCTTAAAACAGTCCTTTTTTTTTTTCTTTTTACTGCCTTTTCTGTGTTCTTGGTTCCTCAATAGACAAGGCTCAAAAAGATGGCAATTTTCTAGTAAAGGAAGCAACACATTAAGTTTTTAAAAAGATGGCACATATTTAGTAAAGGAAGCAACACAGTGTCAGTGGAAGAACTGATCACTAAAATGCTTAATTTCCAAATTATTTTCAACTTTTAATAACATTTCCAATCAATTCCTTTACCAAAAATTCTAGGTTATAGACATCAAGAAAGTACAACTTTTTCCTAACCTATGGAAAGTTCTAAGTCAGGGGTGTCTAATCTTTTGGTTTCCCTGGGCCACACTGGAAGAAAACAAATTGTCTTGGGCCACACATAAAATGCATTAACACTAATGATAGCTGATAAGCTTAAAAAAAAAAAATCACATAATGTTTTAAGAAAGCTTATGAATTTGTGTTGGGCTGCATTCAAAGCCATCCTGGGCCGCATGTAGCCCACAGGTTGGATAAGCTTGTTCTAAATAAACCCTAATAGGACGTCTTAGTATGTTAAGCACTATAAAAGCTTTCACATATTTTGAGATAAACACTTGCCTTCAAAGATCTTGTAACTTGAAACAACAATAAGTTACAAACTAAGGCATATGTTTTTTAAATAGCCAATTAACATTCCCTGCCTATTTCCTCCCCTAAAAGAATTGGCTGTGCACACATTTTGTTAGGTTTTCAGAAACTTTCATCCCTTTCAATTTAGGTCAAAAAAGTAAGTTTCCATAAAATTCCTGAAATTCTTTTTGTTCCAAGTTCCATATTTATTTAAAATTCCAGTTAAGAAAAAGAACAAGAAAGCAATCCATTCACAAGTAATAATTTAATAGAGTCTACTCATAATTCTATTCATAAGACTAAATAGAAAAATGGGCTGATGGGCCGGGCACGGTGGCTCAAGCCTGTAATCCCAGCACTTTGGGAGGCCGAGACGGGCGGATCATGAGGTCAGGAGATCGAGACCATCCTGGCTAACACGGTGAAACCCCGTCTCTACTAAAAATACAAAAAACTAGCCGGGCGAGGTGGCGGGCGCCTGTAGTCCCAGCTACTCCGGAGGCTGAGGCAGGAGAATGGCGTAAACCCGGGAGGCGGAGCTTGCAGTGAGCTGAGATCCGGCCACTGCAGTCCAGCCCGGGCTACAGAGCAAGACTCCGTCTCAAAAAAAAAAAAAAAAGAAAAATGGGCTGATGATCATTATTACTTTGGAAAAACAACAGCAACATCTTTATATAAGAAGTCTATATCTTAAACCATCTAAGTATCTTATGAACAAAGGACAGGCTCATAAATTTAAAACATAAATAAAAATAAAGTCTAGTAAAATGTAAACAAGATACCCAACATGTCACATGGACCAATGCCATGCTTTTAAATACGTAATTCCAAACGTATTGTATTTGTTTTAAGTAAAACTGGTCCAAGAAGTCAGTTTTCCATCACATACAGCTCGTTTATCTACAGAAAAAAAAGTTTTCAACCTAAAAACATTATCCTCCACCCTACTTAATATGATCAATATTTTGCATGACTCTTACTCTTGCATGTATGAATAAACCAAAACACGTAATTTCAAAATTAAGCAATTACAATCATCCCAGGAGAAGGCATGAATTGTAACACCACCACAATTGGAAAGGCAAAACAATTCGGTTTGTGCAGGTATTTTGGTTCCGTCATAAAGTTGGACAAAGTTAATCTGAAAACAATGGACACCAGACAGCTAAATGGTCATTATTTCATCTGAAGCACTCTTAACTATCAATTTGCCATAGCAATTTATAAATTCTGATTCTGTTTAGCCCATCAAGTATCCTGTTAGTCTATCACCAACAAATGGGCAGAAAAACTTAGTAATATTTCTTCTTTAATTTTGAATGAGGCACATGCAATAAGCAAGATACACATAAAATGTGTAACAAGATAGACACAAAGTAACCCCAAACTGCTAGTCTACCTGTAAGACATACTTCAAGGCTTTTTAAAAAACCATTTTAATCTACCCTACACAGACTCTATTTTGCATACTTTCAATGATCTTAAAATAGGTAGGAGACTAAATGTATGCAGATGATCATACCAATATGTAAATAAGAAATGCTTTTCCCCTCCCTTTGTGTAAAGCAAGTATTAATGCTAATCAAAAGAGGTATTCCCTATCTCATAAATGTCTCATAAAATTCTAATTTTGAATCATTTTGAAAAAGGGAATTTATTTCCAGTTTACTAAACTAAAAATTTAACACATAGAAATTTGGAGTGTAGTCCAATTCTAAATAAAGTATAATACATCACTTATTTTCAAAGACGTTTTCACTGAATTCTTCATGTGATATTCCAACTTTTAAGTATAAATCCCCTTCTTCCAATAGATAAACCATGTGAAATATTTCTATAAGACTATTAAGAGTTTATTAATACTAAGTCGTCTTCTTAAGACGACAAAAATATAGAGGGGTATGGGCAGAGTTAGTGGAAATCTCCAAGAACTCAGATTTCCTTGAAACTTCTTGGATAATTAGTCAAATGGAAGGCAAAATTATTATAAGCAGAAAAGGTCTTTAGTATATGTAGTATTCAAGAAATTTTTAGCCAGCAATAAAAACTCCAAATATTAAAAATCAGATTTTTAAAGTCTGAATTAGAATCCAATTACAGACACAAAAAAGGGAACAATCCTACACATAATTTCAAGGGGCTCAAGGATTTCTATGAAGCTGGTCCACATATGAACCACTAATGAGACAAGAGGAGTTCACTGAAAGGTTTTACGTCAGGTAATAACAGCCAGTTTAGTAGCTTCCAGACCATTTGAACAGCAGGTTGGAGGAAAGTATGGTAATGCAGGAGGAGGTAGGTGAAAGGGAAACTAGAATATCCAGGTAGTAATGCAAGTATAAGATAATTAGAGGCAGGGTGCTGATGTAAGGTTCCAACAATATAAGAATGCTAAGGAAAAAGAAATGAAAGCATTTGGTTACTCATGGGTGGTGACACATTCACCAAAATTCAGAATTTGAGGAGAGTTCTGTCTCAGACATAATGACTTTATTAAGGTCTCCAGGTGGAGATAGATGACAGCTGAATTTACTCGTTTGGTACTCCAAGAATAAATCTAAGCTGAAAAAAGTCTGGTGACTCACCAACACATACATGGTCCTTGGAGCCATGAAAATGAGTAAATGCCCAAATTAAACCTGTAGAGAGAGCAGTCAAAAGGGCCAGCCACAGAATCTTGAATTACTCCAATTATTTGTCTGGTAAAATAGCCAGGAAGGGGTATAAGGAACGGTCAGAGAAGAACAGGGAATAAAGATAGACCACCACCACAAAAGCCAACAAAGGAGACATTCGCAATAAAGAATAATCAAGCAAGTTACTCTAAGTGACAAAAATTTCACCATACAATTCACTTTTGTGTGGTGCAAAAGTTGTGAACCCCACACACTTAGTAGCTATTTTGATTTCCTAAACACCATCAATCCCAGTAACCTTTTACTTGGCCAAGACATCTTTCTTTCCCTATTCCCCAGAGACTATCATAAAACTTCTCCCTCCTAGTTTATCAATATACTAACACCTCTATCACTGAGAAATTAGGTAAGTCAAAAATAAATCCTGAAAATCTATCTTTACCTTTACTCTGTCTTATCATTATTCCTCCTGGCTCAATATGGGGTACTGCTACTTGTTTACAAAGCTAACCACTCAACATCTAGTTAGTACTGTCACCTAACTCCTCCAAGACTGATCAATATACTCTGTCCCTAAGTATCAAAATCAATTAACACTGATTTTATGTTAAATAAATGTAAAATCTGGTAATATAGTAAGTACTAAATAAATGTTCATTCCCGGCACTTATTTTGAATTCTCTTTCTCCTACCCTGCCTTCCCACATATTACTGTTACCTGACTCCTCTAAAATGTGTTGATGATTAGGCAGTTGTTTCCCTCCTCATTCCCTTCGCTTGAAAAATGTTTCTTAATTTTCTTTGACTGTTAAAATTCTACTCATTCTTTAGAGGCAAAGTGAAACTTACTCTGTTCACTCTGAACCGTTCAGATGAAATTAATCTCTCCCTCTGTTCAATTTCAATAGCATCTTATTGTTACCTTAATATGGCATCTATTCCACTGTTTGTTAATTACATACATGTCTCATTTACTAGATCATAGTAAGTTCCTTGATGACCAGCACCTAGACTATCTGACCTATTAAGATATTTAAAAATGTATATAGATAGATAAATGGACAGGATTAAATAAAAGATGTATTTTTAAAGACAAATGTTTATTAGTATCATTTTTCAATTATCAAATTTTCAATACTGAATAAAAATAGGGTCGTACTTTTAAGTAATAAATTAATTATTGTTAATACATATCATTACATGTAACCAGTATCATACTGGAAGAGTAGATAGCAAGTTTTATGTCAAACTGGGAAAATGTGAAATAGGATCTACCAAGGTCACTCTTGGTCTAATAAGAAAAATGCTATAATTAAAAGTCAATAAAATATTCACTACATTTTTCATGAGTGACATCAAGTTGCATATGGTTTATATTACTTTAGAAAACAAATATATTCATAGTGGAAAAATGTTTCATCAGTAATAGGGTGAAGTTAAATATGGACAAATCCAAGGTAGTATGTAACACTTTAAAGCATTTCATGCAAAGATAAATGATGAAAGCACAACTAGTAAAACTGGGGATCAGAGTGAAGTGATATGAATAAAAAGCAATGAGGTACTATATTAAAAAAAGTCAATTATGTAGAAATTCCTTTAATTTAGTGAAACAAGTTTTTAGTAACTAGAGTTTTTATAACCCAGTAGTTTGTCTTATTTATAAAAGCTAGTACTACTTGCCTAGCTTAGTTATTTAAGAAAATTATTATGTAAAAAGAAGGTAGAACCCAGAGGACCTGGAGATCTCTTCAGTATTTAAGCCTTCTATGAGCAAACTCCTGTGTCTTCAGTTTTTCTTACAGAGATTTTTCCCTCTGAGGAGACTTGGAAATCTACATTAACGATAATTTAATGTAAATAAATTGTTAATAAAGCACCTATAAGTCAACAGAAAATGCTCATTTTATATAATTAAAACTAAATATGACAGATACTCAATTTACTGTGCTTTAAACCAATCCACTTAATTTACTGCAGCACTGAAAAAAACATGATGCTACACTTACATTTCTATTACAGATCCCACAGATGCCTGCCATAAAAATAAAGCATTTTCTTCATCAGCAGTCAGCCAGCTTGCAGTATTTTCTCTTCCACTGCTGGTTCATTCTTTATGCTGCAAAAGAAAAAAGAGTAATTAAAATCAAGAGAATCAATTAATTATTTATAATCCTTTCACAAAATTCAGTGGAAAACTTTATCTTAAAAGTGGAAAAAATTAAAGACAAGATGCATGCTTTTACCACTGCTATTCAACATGACTGTAAGTTCTAGCAGAGCAAATCAGGGAAAAGAGATAAAGGTATACAGACGGATAAGAAGGAAGTAAAAGTATATTTATTCTCTCTATATAGAAGATCGCATAGAATCCCCAAGAAAGCTAATAAACAAATTCAGCAAAGTTGCAGGTTACAAGTTTGACACACACAAAAATCAGTTGCATTTTGATACACCAGCAGACAACAATCCAAAAAAGAAATCAAGAAAGCAATTCATTCATAATAGCATCTAAGGGAATAAAATAGCCAGGAATCAACCCAGGAGGTGAAAGACTTGTACACAGAAAACTATAAAGCATTACTGAAAGAAATTAAAGAAGAGCTAAGTAAATAGACAAGTGATGTATGGATTGGAAGACTTAACATATTAAAATGACAATACTACCCAAAGTGATTTACAGACTCAACACAATTCCTATGACAATTCCACCGACCTTTTTTTGCAGAAATGGAAAAGCAATTCTCAAATATGGAATTGCAAAGGACCCTAAGTAACCTAAACAATCTTGAAAAATCCAATGTCAAAACTTACTACAAAGCTAAGGCAACAAGACAGTTTGGTGCTGGCATAGGATAGATATAAATATACCAATGACATAGAATTGAGAGCACAGAAATAAACTCATACATCAATAGTCAACTGATTTTTCCAAAAGGGTATCAAGTCTACTCAACGGGGGAAAGAGGAGCCTCTAACTAATGTTGGGACAACTGGATTTCCACATGCAAAATAATTAAGCTGGACCTCTAGCTTACACTATATATAAAAGTTAACTCAAAATGAACCAATAACCTAAATATGAGAAATAAAACCATAAAACTCTTAGAAGAAAACACAGGGGCAAATCTTCATGGCCTTAGATTTGCAATGGATTCCTAGTTATGACATCAAAAGCATGAGAAACATAGGAAACAAATTAGGCTTTATGTAAGTTTAAAATTTTTGTGCATCAAAAGACACTGCTAAGAAAATAAAAAAACTGCAGAATGGGAGAATATTTTGGCAAATCATGTATCTGATAAAGATTTAGTATCCAGAACATGTAAAGAACTACAGCTCAACAACAAAGAGAAACCAATTAAAAAGCGAGCAAAAAATGAGCAAAGAACTTAAAGAAGATATACAAACGAGCAATAAACACACAAAAAGATCCTTAACATTATTAGCAATTAGGGAAATGTAAATCAAAATCACAATGATACATCTATAAGGATGCTACAACTTTTTTAAGGGGAAAATAATAGTGTTGGTAAGGATGTAGAAAAATAGGACCTTTGAACACTGCTGGTAGGAAGGTAAAAGGGTGTAGCTGCTGTGAATAATATTTTGTTGCTTCCTCAAAAAGCTAAACGGAATTACCAATATAACCCACCAATTCCACTCCCAGGGATATAGCAATAGAATTGAAAACAGGTTCTCAGATACTTGTATGCCAATGTTCACTGCAGAAATATTAGGCAAAAGGTGGACACAATTCAAGTATCTGTCAACAGATGAATGGATAAACAAAATGGATAAACAAAATGTGGTCTATAAATACAACAGTACATTATTCAGTAATAAAAAGAAATATGTGCTACAACATAGATGAACCTTGAAAACATACTAATAAGCCAGATACAGGAAAGATTGTACTTGATTCTACTTATATGAAATGATTCTACTTATATGAAATATCAAGAATAGGCAAATTCATAGAAGCAGAAGGTATCAGAGGTTACCAGAGACTGAGGGAAGGAAAATGAGGAGTTATTTGCCTAATGAGTACAGAGTTTCTGTTCGTAATGCTAAAAAAAAAAAAAAAAAAAAAAAAAGTTGTGGAAAATCTATAATGGTGATGGCTGCACAACACTGTAAGTGAAATTACATGGAATTGTACTCTTAAAAAATTGTACCATCTCAGTCATTAACCTTCTTTCTTCCATTTAGTATTTCCTTCTTCACTTCACCATGTCCACTACAGGACACACATCACATTACACAGAATAATCAAGAACACATGATAACGAAAGAAATGACAGATCTCACAGTAAACACAAAATAGAAGAGACTTGAATATTCTTTTAGTTCCATGTGGCTCTCATACTATGGGCATCTATCTCCCTAAGGTATCTCAAAATTCTAGTGTTTAAAGAAACATATTCTTAAGGCCATATGTAACCTCTAAATATAAGCTGACTTATCCTACCAAATGTTTAACAGAACAAACAATTTGTTTTAAAATCAGAGAACTTTCAAAAGTAACTGACTGTGATGGTTAACACTGAGTGTTAACTTGATTGGATTGATAGATACAAAGTATTGATCCTGGGTGTGTCTGTGAGGGTGTTGCCAAAAGAGATTAACATTTGAGTCAGTGGGCTGGGAAAGGCAGACTCACCCTTAATCTGGTGGGCACAATCTAATCAGCTGCCAGTGAATATAAAGCAGGCAGAAAAACGTGAAAAAGAGAGATGGGCCTAGCCTCCCAGCCTACATCTTTCTCCCATACAGGATGCTTCCTGCTTCGAACATCGGACTCCAAGTTCTTCAGTTTTGGGACTCGGACTGGCTCTCCTTGCTCCTTGCAGACAGCCTGTTGTGGGACTTTGTGATCGTGTAAGTTAATACTTAATAAACTCATATATCTATATTCTATTAGTTCTGTCCCTCTAGAGAACTCTGCCTAATATACTGACTAAACAAGGTTTCTAAGAAACCTGGCTTTTTGTTTTACTCTGACTTTAGATGATATGGACTCCACTGTTTTGACTTTCCTCTCAACCCTTTCACCACCTTCAAGGAGCCTACAACTTCAATGGCATCAAAGAAGGCTATGTTCATTTCCTTGCTGCAGCCTACTCCAAACAGAAACTGCACATTTTCATACACTCCCTATATATAGGACAGGAGGAGACAATTTACTGCTCCAACATCATTACTTCTTTCAAGTCTCTATCACACTGACTTTAACATACCCTATAATCCCCTAAAACTGCTCTCTCACCACCTGTAAGGGATTAATGTCATCCTTTCACTACTGATCATCCTCTTCATCCTAACTGCTGACATAACTATGAGCCTATTTAAATAGCCTTGAAAATGAACCATCCAACACCTATTGCACAGGTTCTGAAACTTGTCCCAACTTCTGTTAATCAGAATCACTGAAACTGCTTGTTGGAAATACAGATTCTCAGCCCCTTTCCTTAGGAATTCTAGGCCAATAGACATAGGTTTAAACCTAGGAATCTCACCCCAGGTGGTACTCATGCATTAGTCCTTCAAATGCAATCTGAGAAACACTGTCCTCAATTTTCAGTTCCTTAAATCCTAAATTCGAAGAAATTAATCTCCTCTCCGGCAACCAAATGTTATGATCACATTTGAAACTAGTTGTCACCTAAACTGCTGCCTCTCTGAAATCTTAATCCGACTCTCAGATCACAAGCTCTGGTTCTTCCAGCCTACTCATTCCCACACCTGCTCTTCAATTTCATGGGGACCTACAATCTCTTGACCATCTCATTTCCTTTCCTGCCCATTCTGGAACCCAATCTTTTTTACTTAACAGAACCCTTGGCTCCCTCCTATCTTTATCTCTCATATACACACATTTTACAAACCCCCATTTCTGCATAATTCTTACAATATCACATCTCAGGTTTCATGCCTTAACTACTTTTGTGTTCATGGAGAAAAAGACAAAGTCCTTTCTCTCACCACACAGCCTCCTGCTCCCCCACCCCAACCAACCACAACATATCAATTCTGTCAACTTTTATTCCTAATCCCTTTGGAATCTATCCTATACTCTCTACCCATTGCTAGTGCCCTAGTTTAAACCTGCATCATCTCTCACCTGAACTACTGTACAGCCTGATTATCTTGTGTCACTATCACCCTCAAATGCATTTACTAAGCCTTTGAGATTCTCTCTCTCTCACACACACATATACACTCACTCACTCTACAGTCTGTTTCCCAAGCTGGAATGCTGTGGCATGATTATAGCTCACTACAACTTCAAACTGCTTGGGTCAAGTGATCCTCCCATCTCAGCCTCCCAAGTAGCTAGGACTGAATGATATACTTAAAAGGCAAAATGAACCAGGTTTCTTCCATATGTGAAGCACAATATTGGCTCCTCAGCCTACACAATAAAGACAAAGCTCCTCAGGACAACATTAAAAGGTTTTAAAGATCTAAACTGTAAATAACTAGTCTCTAGTCTTTTTTATCTTCAACAACCACCCATAGATTAATAATCTAGTTGTATCAAATTACTCATAGTCCTGCAAACCTCCCTTTGTAGCTCTGTATTTCCTCCTGCCTGGTACAATCTATTCCCTTTTACAGCTTATGAATGCCTATTTGTTCTTTAATATATTACACAGAAATGGTTATCCCTACCATTTTCTCTGACTACCTCCAGAAAGTTAATTGTTCTCTCTATATATTTTGTATGTTTTTTTTATTACTGAATTTATCACATGCACTAATTTCATTCATTTGTGAAGTCTGACTCTTCTGTGAAATCATGAAACCCCTGAAGATAGGGACCTTTTTATATCTCTAAGTAGCTAGTAAAGTGTCAATCAATTTTTGTTGAACTGATATTTTTTAGATGAATAAAAAATCAACTCCTAAAAGTAACTATTGTGAGGAACAGAATATCAAAGGATTAGATTTATTCAAATAACACTTGAGTTCTAATTGTGAACAAGGCACCCAGCTGGAATCTGTAAGATACATAAAAATATCTAAGTTTTAATCCTTTCTTTATATAACTTAAAATCTAAAGGAGTTCCTACATTTACAAATATAAAATTCAACCCATCTTTGTATCTTCTGGCA